GGGAAGCAGGCTCCCTGCTGAGCAGAGAGCCCGATGTGGGGCTGGATCCCAGAACCCTCGGATCATGACCTGGGCTGAAGGCAGAGGCTTTAACCCACTGAGCCACCCAGGTGCCCTGAAGATCTAACAATTATAAATATTATGCCCCCAATATGGGAACAGCCAATTACATAAGACAACTGTTAATCAAGATAAAGAATCATATTGATATGAATACATTAATATTAGGAGATCTTAACATGCCACTCTCAGTAATAGATCATCCAAGCAGAAAATCAATAAAGAAATAAGAGCATTGAATGACACATTGGAGCAAATGGACCTCATAGATATATACAAAATGTTCCACCCTAAAAGAACAGAATACTCATTCTTCTCGAGTGCACATGTAACCTTCTCCAGAACAGACCACATACTAGGTCACAAATCAGGGCTCAACCGATACCAAAAGATTGAGATTATTCCCTGCTTATTCTCAGATCACAATGCTTTGAAACTGGAGCTCAATCACAAGGAAAAGTTTGGAAGAAACTCAAACACCTGGAAGCTAAAGACCACCTTGATTAAGAATGCTTGGATCAACCAGGAGATCAAAGAAGAACTGAAACAATTCATGGAAACCAATGAGAATGAAGACACTTTGGTCCCAAACCTATGGGAAACAGCAAAGGCAGTCCTAAGGGAGAAATACATAGCCATCCAAACCACCCTTAAAAAAATTGAAAAATCCAGAATAAACCAGCTGTCTCTACACCTTAAAGAACTGGAGAATGAACAACAAATTAAGCCAACTCCACACACAAGAAGGGAAATAATCAAGATTAGAGCAGAGATCAGTGAGATAGAAACTAGAGATACGGTAGAATACATCAATGAAACTAGAAGCTGGTTTTTTGAAAGAATCAATAAGATCAGTAAACCATTGGCCAAAGTAATCCAAAAGAAAAGAGAGAAGTCCCAAATTAATAAAATTATGAATGAAAAGGGAGAGATCATAACTAACACCAAAGAAATAGAAACAATCATCAGAAGTTAATACCAACAGTTATATGTCAATAGGTTAAGCAACCTAGATGAAATGGATGCATTCCTGGAAAACGATAAACTTCCAAAATTGAACCAGGAAGAAACTGACAACCTGAATAGACCAATATCTAGTAACGAGATTGAAGCAGTGATCAAAAACCTCCCAAAAAACAAGAGCCCAGGACCTGATGGATTCCCTGGGGAATTCTACCAAACTTTTGAAGAAGAAATAACACCTACTCTCTTGAAGCTGTTTCAAAAATTGAAGCAGAAGGAGAACTTCCAGACTCTTTTTATGAAGCCTGCTTTACCCTGATCCCCAAACCAGGCAAAGACCCCACCAAAAATGAGAATCTTATGGATGCTAAGATTCTCAACAAGATCCTAGCAAATAGGATCCAACAGCACATTAAAATGATTATCCATCATGACCAGGTGGGATTCATCCCTGGGTTGCAAGGATGGTTCAACATTGGCAAATCAATCAATGTGATAGAACAAATCAATAAGAGAAGAGAGAAGAACCACATGGTCCTCTCAATTGATGCAGAAAAAGCATTTGACAAAATCCAACATCTGTTCCTGATTAAAACCCTTCAAAGTATAGGGATAGAGCGAACATTCCTGAACTTCACAAAATCTGTCTATGAAAAACCCACAGCAAATATCATCCTCAATGGGAATAAGCTCACAGCCTTCCCTTTGAGATCAGGAACACGACAAGGATGCCCACTCTCACCACTCTTGTTCAACATAGTATTAGAAGTCCTAGCAACAGCAGTCAGACAACAAAGAGAAATACAAGGTATCCAAATTGGGAATGAAGAAGTCAAACTCTCTCTCTTCCCAGATGACATGATACATTATATGGAAAACCCCAAAGACCACCCCCAAACGAGTAGTACTCATACAACGATTCAGTAATGTGGCAGGATACAAAGTCATTGTACAGAAATCAGTTGCTTTCTTATACACTAACAATGAAAACACAGAAAGGGAAATTAGAGAATTGATTCCATTTACTATAGCACCAAGAATCATAAGATACCTGGGAATAAATCTAACCAAAGACTTAAAGGATCTGTACTCGAGGAACTACAGAACACTCATGAAAGAAATCGAAGAAGACACAAAAAGATGGAAGACCATTCCATGCTCATGCATTGGAAGAATAAACATTGTTAAAATGTCTATACCAACTAGAGCAATCTATACTTTTAATGCCATTCCGATCAAAATTCCACCGGTATTTTTCAAAGAGCTGGAGCAAATAATCCTAAAATTTGTATGGAATCAGAAGAGACCCCGAATTGCTAAGGAATTGTTGAAAAAGAAAAAACAAAACTGGTGGCATCGCGTTACCTGACTTCAAGCTTTATTACAAAGCTGTGATCACCAAGACAGCGTGGTACTGGCATAAAAACAGACACATAGACCAGTGGAACAAAGTAGAGAGCCCAGATATGGACCCTCAACTCTATGGTCAAATAATCTTCGACAAAGCAGAAAAAAATACACAGTGGAAAGAAGACAGTCTCTTCAATAAATGTGCTGGGAAAATTGGACAGCTATATGTAGAAGAATGAACCTCGACCATTCTCTTACACCATACACAAAGATAAACTTGAAATGGATAAAAGACCTCAATATGGGACAGGAATCCATCAGATTCATAGAGGAGAACTTAGGCAGTAACCTCTTCAATATCAGCCTCAGCACCTTCTTTCAAGATATGTCTCCAAAGGCAAAGGAACCAAAAGAAAAAATGAACTTTTGGGACTTCATCAAGATCAAAAGCTTCTGCACAGCAAAGGAAACAGTCAACAAAACAAAGAGGCAACCCACGGAATGGGAGAAGATATTTGCAAATGACAGTACAGACAAAAGGTTGATATCCAGGATCTATAAAGAACTTCTCAAACTCAACACACACAAAACAGATAATCATGTCAAAAAATGGGCAGAAGACATGAACAGACACTTCTCCACTGAAGACATACAAATGACTATCAGACACATGAAAAATGTTCATCATCGCTAGCCATCAGGGAGATTCAAATCAAAACCACATTGAGATACCACCTGACACCAGTTAGAATGGCTAAAATTAGCAAGACAGGAAACAACGTGTGCTGGAGAGGATGCAGAGAAAGGGGAACCCTCTTACATTGTTGGTGGGAATGCCAGTTGATGCAGCCACTTTGGAGAACACTGTGGAGATTCCTCAAGAAAGTAAAAATAGAGCTTCCCTATGACCCTGCGATTGCACTACTGGGTATTTACCCCAAAGATACAGATGTAGTGAAAAGAAGGGCCATCTGTACCCCAATGTTCATAGCAGCAATGGCCACGGTCGCCAAACCGTGGAAAGAACCAAGATGCCCTTCCACGGACGAATGGATAAGGAAGATGTGGTCCATATGTGCTATGGAGTATTATGCCTCCATCAGAAAGGATGAATACCCAACTTTTGTAGCAACATGGATGGGACTGGAAGAGATTATGCTGAGTGAAATAAGTCAAGCAGAGAGAGTCAATTATCATATGGTTTCACTTATTTGTGGAGCATAAGAAATAACACGGAGGACATGGGGAGATGGAGAGGAGAAGGGAGTTGAGGGAAATTGGAGGAGGAGATGAACCATGAAGGACTATGGACTCTGAAAAACAATCTGAGGGTTTTGAAGGTGCGGGGGGTGGGAGGTTGGGCGAGCCTGTTTGTGGTTATTATGGAGGGCATGTATTGCATGGAGCACTGGGTGTGGTGCCTAAACAATGAAATCTGTTACACTGAAAAGAAATTAAATAAAAAATAAATTGAAGCAAAAGGAAAAATTATTTATTTATTTGAGAGATAGTGAGAGAGTGGGGGAAGGGACAGAGAGAGAGGGAGAGCCAGAGACTCTCAGCAGACTCTGAGCAGAGCTCAAAGCCCAGTGTGGAATTTGGTCTCATGACCCTGAGATCATGGTCTGAGCTGAAACAAAGAGTCCAACCCGTAACCAACTAAGCCATTCAGGTTCACCTTATTTACTTATTTTAGAGACAGAGAGAGAGAGCATGCAAGTTGGGGAGGGGCAGAGGGAGAGGGAGGGTGGAAAGGAGAGAAGCAGACTCTATGCTAAGGTTGGAGCTGGACCCCACAACCCTGAGAGCATGACCTGAGCTGAAACCAAGAGTCAAACGCTTGACCAACTGAGGCACCCTGGAGTCCCACTGAATTGTAAACTTTTAAATGTATGCATTTTATGATATGTGAATTAATTTTATAAAGTAGTTTATCAAATCAATGGCTTAATATGCTTACATGTATTGGAAGATGGCTTTAAGACATAAGCTAATAATTTTGGAAGATGGCTTTAAGACATAAGCTAATAATAATTGTAAATTCACAAAAATGTTGATAGTTTCCAGTAAATTCACAAAAATATTCAAAAAATATTTAAAATATTATTTAAGACATAAGATAATGATTTCTAGGAAATTCACAAAAATATCTACAACAGATATTTGTGGCTCACCTCCCCTCAACCATTAAGAAATATTTCTATTTTCCTTGAGGTCAGTAAAGTGATGTTGGGAGGTCACTGTTTTACAGATGAGGAGGTCACTACATGAGGCAGAATTGGAAGAGGCATTCCTTCTAAGTGATAAACTCTGGAAACAGAAAGCAAGAATAAGGTAGCGCAATCTACTAGGTGAACTATAAAAAATTTTTTTAGACTAAATCCTCCTAGTTTACACACACATATAGAGTCAGCTCCCTGGCTTTCTAAATTGACTGTTTCTTTATTGACACAAAGAAATAACAAAAGCTAAAAATCAGGTCTGTAGTCATCTCATATGATAAAATTACCAATTTCTTTCTCCCTTTTGAAATTACCTCCCTTTTAAAACACAGCAAACTCAAAAAGTGAAAAAAAATCAATAAAATTATCCTTTGCTTAATAAATATTTAGTGGCTCAGATAGACTTCAGGCAAAATAGCCATGGACAAAGACAGCCACTGCCAGGAGGAGAATGGCATTGACATTCACTATAGTTCTCCATAAAGGCTTCTCAGCTGTGTCTCTCAGCTTCTTTTTCTGGGCTTCTTCCTCCTCTTTGCTCAGTTTGTGGCCTGTCTTCTGCAAACCACAGAATAAGTCAAAAGCTTTCCTGAGGCATCCACGGGGTTCCTCAGGATTATCTGAAACAAACAAACAAAAAGGACAGACAAATGATCACAGAACATGGGAAATAAAACCTCTGTAAATGTAGTACAGATGACTGTAATGAATGATTACAGCCACTTTTAAGTGTTAGAAGAATCTTTGAGAAAAACATAGATAACTTTGATTATATAAAAAGAGAAAACTTTTGCATTGCATAAAGTTCAATAAAGTAAAAACAAGTAACAAACTGGAGAAAAATATTTGCGTCTTATACCATGAAGGGTTTAATATTCTTAATATACAATGGACTTTAAAAATAAATAATACTTCCATTAACTCCATGTAGACACATATGCATACATAGATAAACAGTTATTAAATTCACTCAAAAAAGAGAAATTTTTTTTTTTAAAGATTTTATTTATTTATTTGTCAGAGAGAGAGAGGGAGAGAGAGCGAGCACAGGCAGACAGAATGGCAGGCAGAGGCAGAGGGAGAAGCAGGCTCCCTGACGAGCAATGAGCCCGATGTGGGACTCGATCCCAGGACGCTGGGATCATGACCTAAGCCGAAGGCAGCTGCTTAACCAACTGAGCCACCCAGGCGTCCCAAAAAAGAGAAATTTGAAAGGATATATATGTGACTATATCTATCTATCTACCTATCTATCATTTATCTATCTATAGAGATATATATAAAATGCAATATTACTCAACCATCAAAAAGAATGAAATCTTGCCATTTGCAATGACTTGGATGGAGCTACAGTGTATTATGCTAAGTGAAATAAGTCAGTCAGAGAAATAGAAATATGACATGATTTCACTCAGATGTGGAATTTAAGAAACAAGACAGATGAACATGGGGGAAAGGAAAAAAAAGAGAAGGAAGCAAACTATAAGAGGCTCAATCATAGAGAACAAACGGAAGGTTGTTGGAGGGGTGGTGGGTGGGGGATGGCCTGAATGGGTGATGAGTATTAAGGAGGGCACTTGTTATGTTGAGCACTGAGTGTTATATGTAAGTGATGAGTCACTAAATTCTATACCAGAAACCAGTATTACACTATACATTGACTAACTAGAATTTATTAATTTTTAAACTAATAAATTTATTTTTAATTTATATAATAAACACACTCTGTCTTAAATAAACACACTCTCTCTTAAACAAATAAATAAAAAATAATAAATAAATCACACTCTCTCTTAAATAAACAATTATTATTTATTAATAATTTATATAATAAATTTATTTATTATTAAAGATATTATTTATGCATTTGACAGAGAGAGAGAACACAAGCAGGAAGAGCAGCAGGCAGAGGGAGGGGGAGAAGCAGATTTCCCATTGAGCAAAGAGCCTGATGTGGGGCTCGACCCTAGGACCCTGAGATCATCACCTAAGCCGGAGGCAGATGCTTTACTGACTGAGCCACCCAAGTGCCCTAGAATTTATTAATTTTTTAAAAAGATTTTATTTAATTATTTTAAAAAGAGAGAAAGCACAAGTGGGAAGGGCAGAGGGAGAGAGAGAGAATTTTAAGCAGATGATGCACTGAGCACAGAGCTCCACACCGGGCTCAATCTCATAACACTGAGATCATGACCTGAGTCAAAATCAAGAGTTGAACAATTAACTGACTGTACCACCCAGCCACCCTGACTAACTAGGATTTAAATAAAAACGTGAAACAACAAAAAAATAGAACTTTGAAATAAAATGATACTGAGATACCACTACTCATCTGTCAGTGACAAAAATTTAAAAATTTCACAATATACTTATTAGTTTGTGTGGAAGCAGGTACTCCCACACATTGGTGCTAGGAAACCATGACTCAACTCTCATGGATGGGAATTTGGCAGTGTACAGCAAAATTGCTTAGTTATTAACCCTTTGACCCAAAACTTCAACTTCTTAGAATCTATCCTAAAGGTAAACTGGTAAAAATACAAAAAGCTCTAAGTACAAGGTTATTTGTTCCTGCATTAGAAAATTTAGAACATAATTCTAAATTCAAATGTCTTTGAAAAACCATAATGAAGGTAAGACTATTCTTGTAAACAAATGGTAAAGAAAATTCTACAAATTAAAAGCTGTGAAATGTAGCAAAGCATTACTTTGAGGAAAATGCCTAGCTTTACTTACTTACATTATAAAAGAAGGGAGCCTGAAAATTAATGAAGAATTATTAAATTTAAATTAGAAAAAATAGGGACACCTGGGTACTCAGTTGGTTAAGTATCTACCTTCCATTTAGGTCATAATCTCAGGGTCTTTGGATCAAGCCCTGCATCAGCATCAGGCTCTCTCAGCAGGAAATCTGCTTCTCCTTCTCCCTCTGCCCCATTCCCCACTCGTGCTCTCTCTCTCAGATGCTCTTTTTCTCTCTCTCAAATAAATAAATACAATCTTAAAAAATAAATTAGAAAAAATAACAACAGAACAAACCCAAATAATGTAAATGGAAGGGTATGCAAAAGAGAAAAGAAGGTAATAAAATAGAAAAGAAGGATAACAATAGAGAATAATAACAAAACCCAAAATTAGTTCTTTAAGAAAAGTAAAATAGGGGGAACTGAGTGGCTCAGTCAGTTAAGAGTCCAACTCTTGATTGTGGCTCAGGTCATGATCTCAGGGTCATGAGATCAAGCGCTACATAGGTCTCCCTGCTCAGCCGGGAGTCTGCTTGTCTCCTTCTTCCTTTGCCCCTCCCCCTGCTCACACACTCTCTCTTAAATAAACAATTTTTTTAAAGAAATGTAATGATGTATGGTGTATACATGGTGACTAACATAATATAATAAAAAAAGTAAAAGAAAAGTAAAATAGACAATTCTTTAGTAAGATTTATCAAGAAAAAAGAGAAATCACAAAAAATTATATTAAGAGTCAAAAGGAAGGCATAGCTACAGAGGTAGTAGAGATGGAAAAGCCAATGAATAGTATGAATAGCTTTATGTTAATATATTTAAAATGTGTACTAAATGGACACAATCCTAGAAAATATAATTTTCCCAAACTGATTAACCAAGAAATGAAACCTCTAAATACCTCTATAGCGTCTCTTTTTCTCTCACACACACACACACACACACACACACACACACACACAGACATGCACACATTCACTAGGCCTAATGCCTAATGGTATAATTAGCAAAATACCAAAATTTCAATGCAGAAATCATTTCAATCTTATTGAAATATTTCTAATTCATTCTATAGAACACTATGATTTTAATACCAAAATAAGACAAAGTATAAAAAAGGAAAACTATATAAGACAGTCTTACTCAGGAACACTGATATAAAAATCTAAAAGGAGTAGAAGACATTTATCCTCCCCTAGATTTGAGGAATCTAAGCCAAACCAAATGAAACAATTACGTATAGTTCAAGACAACATTTCCTGAAGTGCTAAACTTTGTCAATGGTTTTAAAAATACCAGGTATATCTTCCACTCTGATTTGTTTCTTACTGAAACAAAACAGGATTTTCTAGAACATATCTCAAGCTAATTGAACATAACAATAATAATAAAAAGAAACAAATTCACTTTACAACAAAAGCTCACTTCCAGGACCAAATTAATACAATGGTTGTCATTCTAACCATACAATCAACATAAAAAACCAAAGCAGACTTTCAAAAAAAAAAAACAAACCAGGTAAACAAAGATCCACGGGGATCTTTGTTGAAGGAAATGAGATTAGAACCTAGTTTCAAAGGATAACTTTTTTCTCTTAGATAGGAGAGGTAAAAATATTCTAAAGAGCTTGGTATATGTGGGGGAAAAGTGAAGAAATCTGCTTGGCCGGAGCAGGGTATATTGAAGAGAATAGTGAGAAACAATTTTGGAGAAAAAGTTGGGACTAGATGCTAGGTACACCTAATCATGATCAATCAAGTTTGATTAGTTGAACACTTAATACGTGACAAGGAACAGGAGAGACTGGAATTGATTTTCACCTCAGAGCTGGAACACAGATCCATGGATGGATGATGGATGAATTGACAGACAGACTGATAGATAGGTAGGTGAATGGGGATATTTTATTTGTAAAGAGTTGTCTTGTCTTGTTTTATTTTGGAGCGGTAAGATTTTAAAGTTTCAGTTTGCCATAACTGAATAGCTTTTTCAGAAACTGAATTTACTGGCATTAAAAAATAAAGCAAACATAAGTAATTCAGGTACATAGAGTTTCCACATGAAAACCAAATGTAAACCAGGTATTACATTCATCAACATCACCATCAGCTTCTTCATGTCTTATTTCTTTTGGATCTAAATCAATTCGTTCCTCTGTACTGTTCTGAAGAGCCCAGCACAGGCGATACAGCTGCACAGAGACCAAAGACAAGCACATTAGTGATGGGAAAATCTTTACAGTAATATGATGGTACATTTGTTTATTGTGTAGTGCAAAAAAATCAAATGGCACTTAACAGTGTATGTAACAAAAAAAGGTCTTCTACCATACTAATTCACAAAAACACACTAACCATTTAAAATTATTTGTTTTTAACTCTTCCAGTAGTTCTTAAACACTTTTAAGTAATATGCTTAAAACTCTTACTTCTGGATTTATAATTTTATAAAAGTCAAAGGTTTATCACTCATTGTCCTTATCATTCAGCTGTTATTTTTTTTTTTTAAAGAGTTTATTTATTTGCCAGAGAGAGAGAGTGAGTACACACAAGCAGGCAAAGAGGCAGGCAGAGGCAGCGAGAGAAGCAGGGTCCCTGCCGAGCAAGGAGCCTGATACGGGACTCGATCCCAGAATCCTGGGATCATGACCTGAGCCAAAGGCAGCCGCTTAACCAGCTGAGCCACCCAGGAGTCCCTCATTCAGCTGTTATTAGCTGCATCATTATTACTTTCAGTTTGTCTAGTGGTTACTCTTGTAACTTGTAAAATATCTTCTTCTTTTAAAGAAAGATTTTATTTATTTATCTGAGGAGAGAGAGCGAGCATGGGCAGGGATAAGGACAGAGAGAGAAGCAGACTCCCTGGCCAGCACAGAGCAGACTTGGTGTTCAATTCCAGGACTTTGAGATCATGACCTGAGCTGAAGTCAGATGCTTAACTGATTGAGCCACTCAGGTGTCCCTAAAATATCTTCTTAAGCTTCATTTTTAGATTTATCATGTTTAGGTAGTATCCATGTACTGCTATTAAGTTCTGATAACAATTTATGCTCTTACACATCCATTTCCCAGCCAACCTCCAAACTTTTGTCAACTGTGTCATTATTTTAAAGCTGTTATAAGCTTAATAGAATTTTAATTATTTTCTGCAAATGTGATTAATACTTCCATGCTTTATATGTTGATTAGAATTTGAAAATAAAGAGCTATTTATATTATTATATAACTTTTTCAGTGCCATAGATTCAAGACATGTGCTTGGACACAATGAATAAAATCAGCTCTAAGTCATTCCAAGGAAATGGTTCCAAATATCAAATGGGTTTCAAAATTATAACCTCTCATATGTTCTAAGTCATGCTTCATTTTAATTGGCTTCATATTTAGCTCATGACTTTCTTGTACAGATTTACCAGAATTTGTAATTGGCTTTTTTGTTTGTTGTTGGCATAGCAGACACATGCACCTTACCACTAAGATTCCTAAATATAGCTTCATAAGATTTTTTTTAATCCTAACACTTCTTAAACAGTATCTACTTTCTTTATTGAAACTCTTTTATTGGATTTTTAACTTGGACAAGGTAATTTGTAGTCTTCCCAAGGTAAAAAAAAATTATCATTCTGAGATTTCTCTCTCTGTTAGGTTAGGTCTACAACACTCCTCATGACTTCCTCTGAAATGACTATTGATTTTTATCAGTGATTTTGAAAATTCAAACCAGACAGTGTATTTATGAAACTGAAATACAAATTAGATAAAGGGTCTCATTGGACCTTCAGACACATATTTTCTAAAAATTATAATAAATTGTAGTTATTTTTATTGCCATAAAAGAGCTTAATGTTTATATATTTTTAAAAACTAGCATGTTTTTGGGGCGCCTGGGTGGCTCAGTGGGTTAAGCCTCTGCCTTCGGCTCAGGTCATGGTCTCAGGGACCTGGGATCGAGCCCTGCATCGGGCTCTCTGCTCAGCAGGGAGCCTGCTTCCCTTCCTCTCTCTCTCTGCCTGCCTCTCTGCCTACTTGTGATCTCTCTCTGTGAAATAAATAAATAAAATCTTAAAAAAAAAGCTAGCATGTTTTTTAGTGTCTTTTTCACTCAATTCCCAATATTCAACATAAATATTTAGTTATGACTTCTGGTGACATGTCTTTGGTAAAGTAGTTTGAGCCATTCTGTACTTCAGGTTTCCCTTCCACAAATAATATTTACTACTTTCCAAGGAAATACGCAAATAAATATTGCTTCAAAGATTGATTAATGCAAAATAAATGTAATAAATTAAAAAATATTAGTATATAAGCAATATATCTTTTAAAATGAGTATTTTTAATTTTTTTTTACCTTTTTAAAAATTTTTATTTATTCTTTTAAATTTCTTTTCAGGAGGTGGCTGGGTGGCTCAGGGGTTAAACCTCTGCTTTTGGCTCAGGTCATGATCTCAGGGTCCTGGGATCGAGCCCCACATCAGGCTCTCTGCTCAGCAGGGAGCCTGCTTACCGCTCTCTCTCTGCCTGCCTCTCTGCCTACTTGTGATCTCTATCTGATAAATAAATAAACAAAATCTTAAAAAAAAAAAAAAGGAATCTCCACACTTTTCCAAAGTGGCTGCACCAACTTGCATTCCCACCAACAGTGTAAGAGGGTTCCCCTTTCTCCACATCCTCTCCAACACTTGTTGTTTCCTGTCTTGTTAATTTTGGCCATTCTAATTGGTGTCAGGTGGTATCTCAATGTGGTTTTGATTTGAATCTCCCTGATGGCTAGTGATGATGAACAGTTTTTCATGTGTTTGTTAGCCATTTGTATGCAAAACAGATAATCATGTCAAAAAATGGGCAGAAGACATGAACAGACATTTCTCCAAAAAAAAAAAAAAAAAAAAAAGACTAATATTTGCTGGTCTTCTATAGTGCCTTCCCCAGAGATACCTTTTACTGAGAATTTCTGGTGTATATGTTTTAAGGTATTTTGTCTATGCTTAGACAAACGTATGTATGTGTATTTTGTTTTCAAAAAGTGGTATTATATAATAGTATATATTTCTGCAAGTGTTTTTCCCCCTTAACCATATCGTGGGCATTTAAAAAAGCAAATAATAGAGCTTCTCAAGTTCTTGAACAGCTGCATAATATTCAGTGTTCTATTGTGTATCCATTCCACTAGTGAGAGAAATTCGAGTTGTCTTCATCTTTTTTCTACCAAAAGCCTTTGGTAGAGAAAGTCATTATACATATATTTTCCCTGCTTGTGCAAGTATTTATACACAATAAGCTCCTAGAAATGTGGTTGTTGGCTCACAGGGTATGAGAATTTTATTTGATAAATACTTCCCAATTACCTTCCTACAAATTATAAAATTCATACATTCACCAACAATTTTGGAGAGTGGACATTTCCCAACATCCATACCAAAACTTGACATATTAATATTAAACATTTATGCTAATTTGAAAGGCATCTCATTGTTCTATTTTTCTTTTTCCTGACAACTGGTACCTGCTTTTTTTAAATAAAAAATCTGTGTCAGTGTTTGTGTTGCATATGAAATTCTACTTGCCACTAAATAGTACCAGCTCAGATGAGAGCTCTGCTTTGAAGACTTTTCCAAACTCTTAGGCAACACTAATTACTCTCTTCTTGGTATCCTAAAACAAAGATGAAGATTTACCTCCCAAATGCATTGTGAAGTTTTTTTGAGGTTGAAGCCCATTTCCCAATCCCCTGGAAGGCAAAGAACTCTTATTTTAAAATGAGCATGTATCTACTACTCATTACTCACATGTACATCAGGAATGGGTTTTGTTAGCAGGGAAATTCCCAGGATGACCAGCACAGAAACAAAAAAGAGAATGATGGCAAAGTACAGATAGTGCACTTCACAGATGACTTTGGGACAGTCACTGGTAGCCAAGCAACTACTTGTTCCATAGACAAATTCTGCAATCATGTGAATGAGACCAATCACAAGTCCAGTGACTAGACCCCAGAAGGCCCCCTGCAAGAAAATAAGAATAAAATCAGAATATTTAGAAAAGATGAGAAGCTCATTTGAATAGATCATATTTATCATCCTACCTGCTTTCTCCACTAAGAATCAATAATGATCCAGCAATTGCACTACTGGGCATTTACCCCAAAGATACAGATGTAGCAAAAAGAATGGCTACATGCACCTCAATGTTAATAGCAACAAGGTCTACAAGAGCCAAACTGAAAAGAGCTGAGATGACCTTCAACAGACAAATGGATAAAGAGGATATGGTCCATATCTACAGGGGAATATTACTCAGCCATTAGAAAGGATGAATACCCAACATTTGCATCAACATGGATGGAACTGGAGCACTTCACATTAAAAAAATCTCTTTTAATCCTCAGAACAATTCTATCAGTTAAGCACTATGATTATCTTTGTTCTACCCAGAAACAAATGGTTTGCTTAAGATCACAATGATATAAAATGGTAGAGCCAAGATTGGATCCTGTCAGTCTTACTTCAAAACTTGTGTTCCTCTTCGTCATGTCCTGTATATATAATATTTTGTGAGAAATGTAAAGACTGTACTATAAGTGTGCCCTATATATTTACACACTTCAGTAAGAATGAGGAATTATAACTGACTACGATTATAATTGAGATGGGCTTTGAGTTGTATAAACAGGGTGGAAAGAATGCATTTTTCTACCAGTGAAAGAAATAATTTTCTCACTCTAGTTTGAAAGAAGTTTTCTGATTTTTACTTACTTGTTCATTAACTCTTTTACAGAAGATGGCAAGCAGGAAGACAGCTGCAACAGGAGGCCCGAGTAGCTAGAAATTGCTTCTATATAATGGAACAGTTGTCCATTTTGAGATACCTGCACTAATGGGACCCACAAAATGCTGATGACAATTAATAGAATGATAAATAGCCTGGCGAGAAAACAAAATGATTTAAATATTAAACAAAAGTATTATGGGTACTTCTATTGTGCTTTTGTTCTTGAATTCATTCTCGTGGTCATTCACTGATTTTCCAAATAAAATCAAACTCCCAGGGGCATCTGGGTGGCTCAGTCATTACGTATCTACTCAGGTCATGATCCCAGGGTTCTGGGATTGAGCCCCACATCGGGCTCCCTGCTCAGTGGGAGGCTGCTTTTTCCTTTCCTACTCTCCCTGCTTGTGTTCCCTCTCTCACTGTGTCTCTCTCTGTCAAATAAATAAAAATCTTAAAAAAATCAAACTCCTTGACCTCACATGAAGCCATGCCATGTTTAATGACCATTGGTTAGCAAAATGCCAATAAAAAAATTGCTTGTCTATAATTAGTAACAGCAGCTTCAACTATAAGGTTAAACATCCATTCATAATAGTTCAAATGTCACCAACTTGTTAATAATTCTCTAACGCAATTTATGTAATATATTAGAAAAAAAATCACACTATTTCTATGAGTAAGTAATTATTTGTATGATAAAGAAAGTGATTCCCATTTTAATCTTTTTTCCTAGCTTGAGGAAAACTAAGTCAGGCTTCCCAGGTTAATTAAAATATCCTTTATTCCAAAATGCTGAGTGAATTGGCCAGAAATGTTAATTTGTGTGTTTTACTACTTGAGTACCTTGGCAGGTAGAAAGAATTGGTTAAAATATTGCTAAAAACTGCTTAGAGGTTCCTGGGGTACAGGGAGAATGACTAAGGTTAAACTCCACAATATTCTGTGCTTATTGTATAAATAAATGAACAATTTATTGGACTTTTGTTACTTCTCTGTGCTCACCTGAAACAGAGCTGTTGGGGAGACATGAGGGACAAGCATTTGAGCAAGAGACTGAGGCACAAGTGTCTCACTGAAGCTTTGCCAAACTTCTGCAACCTTGCAGTAATTAAATGTGATAAACCATGGAAAGTCTGAGCATGATTCCTAGATAATAAAGTTTAATGAACAAATAATGCCCACTACCCTTGTTCTCCTTGTTATCATCATTGGGAAGCAAATAATGTACCTACCTTTCTCTCTTATCTTCAGTTGTTTTCCATCATATGTGGAATAAAGTCCAAAGTCTTGTTATAGCTTATATGGTCCTACATAATTTCACCTCTAGTTACCTTTTAGACCTTGGTTCTTATCATGCTTCCACTTGCTCATCATGTGCCAACCTCACCTCTGCTGTCCTTAAATACACTGCACACATGACTGTAGTAAGAATTCAGCACTTACTATTCCATTCCCACAAAGCCACTGGGTTTACTCCCACACTTCCCTCAGGGCTTCCCTCAAATGCCACCTCCTCAAAGAAGACACCCTGAACAGCTATCTTGAGTGGTTAATCCTGCTTTAATTTTTTCCCTAGCACTCTCTGTCATTAGACATAGAATGTTTATTAATTATCTATCTTCCCAACAAAGGCATAAATTCTACAAAGCAGGAAATTATTTTTCACATGTATGTCCTTTTTCATATTTGTATTCTGGGACCTAGGAGGCATTTAATAAGAGAGAGAGAGAAAAAATTCATTAATTTATTATTGAAACTTAAAAAGCATTCATACCCAAGATCATATGCCTATTAGTGGACTTCTGCTTCTTGGGCTTACTGAATTCAGGTCTTAATGCTTTCTCTACCAAAAAACATAGATCCCTTACTGTTCTTCTATAGCATTTTTCCAGAGTCAAAATCTGGACCAAGTGAGTCCTTGGAATTTTCCCTGGAAGTGCTTAATTTACTAAGCAATTTTTACTGTCTTCAGTAAACTACTATCTTTTATATATGTAGTCAGTTTCTCTTGATGCCCCATTTCTTTATTTTTTGACATCTTAATTTTTTTCAGTGTTCCAAGATTGTTTATGCACCACACCCAGTGCTCCATGAAATACATGCCCTCCTTAATACCCACCACCAGGCTCACCCCCCACCCCAAAACCCTCAGTTTGTTTCTCAGAGTTCACAGTCTCTCATGCTTCATCACCCTCTCCAATTTCCCCTAATTCAATTTTCCTTTCCTCCTCCTAATATCCTCCATGTTATTCCTTATGCTCCACAAGTAAGTGAAACCATATGATAATTGACTTTCTCTGCTTGACTTATTTCACTCAGCATAATCTCCTCCAGTCCTGTCCATGTTGATTCAAAAGGTGGGTATTCATCCTTTCTGATGGCTGCATAATGTTCCATTGTATATATGGACCATATTTCTTTATCTATTTGTCTGTTGAAGGGCAGCTTGGCTCTTTCCACATTTTAGTAATCATGGCCATTGCTGCTATGAAATTGAGATACATATGGCCCTTCTTTTCAGTACATCTGTATCTTTGGGTGGCAAAAATTTAACAAAACAGGAAACAACAAGTGTTGGAGAGGATGTGGAGAAAGGGGAACATTCTTACACTGTCGGTGGGAATACAAGTTGGTGCAGACACCACCACTTGGTGCAGACAAGTTGTCTAGACACCACTAGACACACTATTTTGGAAAATAGTGTGTAGATTCCTTAAAAGGGGGTGGGAGGTTGGGTGAGCCTAGTGGTGGGTATTGTGGAGGGCACGTATTGTATGGAGCCCTGGGTGTGGTGCATAAACAATGAATTCTGGAACACTGAAAAGGAATTTAAAAAAAAAAGGAAAGAATTAAAAATAAAGCTACCCTATAACAACCCATTTCTTAATGAATGCAGTTGATAAACCACCCTGTAGCAGTGTGTGGATGACTTAATTTGGACTGCTTCATGAGATGTACACAGAAACTTCTAGAGACAATGTATTAGCCTATGAGAGTAGGTGGGAAATTTATACCCCACGAAAAACACTAGAGTTTCATGAAGATGTAAGTGGAAGAGAGTGTGATGAGAGGAAGAAATAAGAGACAATCAGAGAGGCATTTGAAAGTCTGAAAAAGCAACTATTTCATTTAAAAGTATGGTCCCAAGTTTTGTATCTGGAAAGAGATAAAGTTGGGTTAAATGTCCTCTTAATGTTCCTTCCCCATTCTAGAATTCTATGATTTATTTCACTGAAACCAAAGATGAGAAGGCTCACTCTTATTTCTGCACTTTTACAGAGAAATTTTAGACAAAAATCAGGATGCTCTCACCGTCCTGCTATAAGAAGCTCCTTCTCTGATGCCTGTTTCCTAATCTTGGTGTAGAGGTCCATGGTAAAGAGGGTGCTGGCACTGTGGAAGATGGAGGTCAGGGAGCTCATGAGAGAGGACAACATGACTGACATCATCAGACCTCGCAGTCCTAGGGCCAGATGAGAGTGCAAACATTAGCTAGAAATGAGACTCCATGATTTATGAGGATCTTGCCAAACCAGAGAGTTGTTGAAAAGTGTCATCTGGAACATTTACTAACTGATGCTCCTGTCAACATATATCATCATGTGGCATTTCCTGCATATTTCCTGGTGATTTTAGAATAATCCAGTATATAATTTTAGTTATAAATATAAATTTAGAGATAATTTGCTGGAACTTAAATTTTGGAGAGAGGAAACAGTGTTGGGCCATCTTTCTTTGGGCGAGAACCTCTTGGTTTCCTGAAAACTTAGGGAACTGGAGAGGGAATACAATAGTAGGTAGTTCTGTTGAAGTTTTTGGTGGGAAAAGCAAGTAATTTTGAGATATTATGGTCACTTCTCCTCCAATTCTTTCTGTTTATTAGTAATGCCCCTAAAACTCTTAGGACCAAGTTGGCATGAGGTGGATGGGTGATGTCGTTTGTGGGTGGTGCTCCCTTCCTCCTGACAATGCTTATGTGTGTCAGGAAGGAGAAAGATCACAGAAGTGTTAGCTGACTTTTGATGGACCTAAGGTACAAGAGCACCTGGTTGTTGCTGAGCTCCATATTCTGCTTTGCTTCTGACCAACCCAGATCACCTTTTAGTATCCTAGTAATTTACTTCCTTTTCACATGTGTAATTTATTTTCTATCTCATGAAACTACAATGCAAGTTCCAAATATGGGATTTTGTGCCTATTTCACTGATATTTTCTAACCATCAGGGCACTATCTGGCACATAGTAGGCACTAAATAAATAGTGGTAAATTGCATAGGTTGGGGTCTATTATTTGGGTATAATTGGTCTAAAGAAAGCAGGATAAATAGTTAACTTCTAGTTTTCTGAATTTATAAGTTTATGTCTATGCAACTCCTTTTAAAAAAGATTTTATTTATTTATTTGAAAAAGAGAGTGAGAGAGAGTGAGTGAGAGACAGTGCAGACTCCCTGCTGATCCTTGGACTTCAGGAACATGACCTGAGCCAAAGACAGACACTTAACCGACTATTCCACCCAGGCATCAAAGATGAGAAGGCTTTAGTTGCAACACTTTTATTGACAAATCCATCACTTAAATTCTCTTGATTGCCTTGGAAGACATCTTAAATCCAAAGGAGTAAAATTCTTCTAATAGGAATTATATCTGATTCATCTCTGTATTCCCCAGGGTCAGCACAGGGCTGATAACCTATGTAAAGTGCTCAAGAAATGTCTGATGAAGACAATTGAATTAATGGAAGTTAGAATTATTGAGCATTATACCATAATCTTTCCTCATGGCCCATCTATAGACCAGGTCTGTGTGGCAGTCCCAGCATTAACATTTTTCTTTTTTTTTCCCAGCTTTATTGCGGGATGATTGACAAGTAAAAATTGCATATAGTTAAGGTGTACAATGCGATGTTTATGTACACTGTACACTGTGATATGATTACCACAATCAAGCTAATTAACATATCCATCCTCTCACATAGTTATGGTTTTCTTGTTTTGTGGTGAGAATACTTGAGATCTATTCTCTTAGCAAATTTTAAGCATACATTTTTGTTAACTATAATTTCCCTGCTGTCCACTGGTTCTCCAGAATTTATTCATCTTATAACTGAAAGTTTGTATCTTTTGACCAACATCTTCCCATTTCCCCCACCCTCTAGCCCCAGCAACCACCATTCTACTCTATTGCATGAGTTCCACTTCTTTAGATTCCACATATAAGTGACATTATGTGGTATTTGTCTTTCTGTAACTGGCTTATCTCACTTAGCATAATATCCTCTAGGTCCATCTATGCTGTTGCAAACGGCAGGTTTTCATTTTCATTTCTACACTTCTATCTATCATCTATCTATCTATCTAATCTATCATTTATCTTTTTAAAAATTCTGTTAGTAACCATACAGTACATCATTATTTTTTAATGTAACATTCCATGATTCATTGTTTTTGTATAATATCTGATGAGGGAGCAGGAGGCTGGCTGAGGACAAAGCAAAAGCTGTCACCTTGCACCCCCTCTCCACAACTCCCCTCCCCTCAGTAATATATGTGACATTCCTCAGGCACCCCTGACTGCCATAAACAAGAAACAAATAGTTAACTTGCAGAGATCACAATCCTACAAGACAGGAGTCTCCCTTGGTTTACAAATGTCCTAGAGATCTACAAACAAAGAAGTTACCTTATCAATAGCACAATTTCCAGAGGCAAATAACTCAGTTCCTCAAGCCCTAATGTCACCCTCCTCTCCATAAACAAAACTGAAGGAGGCTTAGGTAGAAGGAAATGTAAATATAGTTAAATCTCTTCTGAACCTAAATCTCACTGACAAAGACACTTGATAGCAGGATTGTGACATCCCACCAGGAATCTCCCAACTATCTTGATGTTAATGGCTGGCCAAAAGACAACACTGATCAAGTATCCCAGCACCTTGTAGGCCCTTTTTAGCATATGAAAGCTCTGTTGAAACCTCCCTTCCCCTCACCTTCCCCCAACCACAAGGTACATAACCTGCCATCTCTCACAACCCGGGGCAGCAGCTCTTTCTGTCCACGGGTCCTGTCCCCATGCTTTAATAAATCACCATTTTGCACCAAAGATGTCTCAAGAATTCTCTCTTGGTCATCGACTCTGGACCTCACCTAGGTTCTAGAACTTCATCAATACCCAGTGCTCCACACAACATGGGCCCTTCTTAATACCTGTCACTGGGCTAACCCATCCCTCAACTCCCCTCCCCTCTAAAACCATTAGTTTGTTTCCTGGAGTCCATAGTCTTTCATGGCTCATCTCCCCTTCAGATTCCTCCCCCCTTCATTTTTCCCTTCCTTCTCCTATTATCTTCCATGCCATTCCTTATGTTCCACAAATTAATGAAATCATTCTATCATCTATCATCTATCATCTATCATCATCATCTATCTGTCATCTATTGTCTATTATCTATCTATCATCTATCTATCTATCTATCTATCATCTATCTATCTATCATCTATCTATCTATCTCTATCATTTATCTAACTATCATTACATTTTCTCCATTCATTTGGGCATGGACATTTTCTTACCATCAGGCATCAGTTCCAGCACCATCATTGGGTAGGCATAGTTACTGCAGCCAACTTCAACGCCACAGTGTTTCACACATTCAGAAGGCACAACACAGGCCACTTTCTCTGAGGAGGAATTCAGATAAGTATGTTCAGTGAGTGTGGCCCAAACAGGTAAGATCTACAACCATTGAACATAGAAACAAGTTGTACATTATGGGTGAGAGGAAAGACATTTGCAGGGAACATTTAGCTCCCTTTGCACTGACCTAAGGAGCAGGTTTCCTCTTTGGGTTGTGGCCCAGCTAGAACATGAGAGCAAACAGAGGAGGAACTGATTCCATCCTCCAGAGAAGTTGCAAAAGCATAAATCCTCCCAGAGGCACAGAACTCCAGAGATAAAATAACCACAACAGCCAAACAATACTCAGGAAGTTAGTTCCATGTCCAGTCATTTAGCCCAGTGCTTTCCACCCGCATCTAAGAAGAGGTGTCACTTGTGATTTTTCTCAGGGATGATTGCTCATGTGGGATGAGGTGTCCCTTCACTGTGGCAGTTTTACAACACCTTGGCAATTTTTTTGTTGTTGTTGTTGCTTAAACAATATTATGACAACAGATAGCAAAAAAATGACCTTAAAAAAATCTCTGAGAAATAAACTGAGGGTTTGGAGGGGAGGAGGTTGGAGGGATTGGGTGAGCCTGGTGGAGGATAAAGGAGGGAATGTATTGCATGGAGCACTGGGTGTGGTGCATAAACAATGAATCTTGGAACACTGGAAAAAATTTAAAAAATAAAATAAATAAAATGTAATTTTAATAGGGAAAAGAAGAAATTAAAAATAGAGTTATCCTATGACACTGCAATTGCACTTCTGGGTAGTTTGTTTTTTTTTTTTTTCCCCCAGCATAACAGTATTCCTTGTTTTTGCACCACACCCAGTGCTCCATGCAATACGTGCCCTCTCTAATACCCACCACCTGGTTCCCCCAACCTCCCACCCCCCCGCTCCTTCAAACCCCTCAGATTGTTTTTCAGAGTCCATAGTCTCTCATGGTTCACCTCCCCTTCCAATTTCCCCCAACTCCCTTCTCCTCTCCATCTCCCCTTGTCCTCCATGCTATTTGTTATGCTCCACAAATACGTGAAACCATATGATAACTGACTCTCTCTGTTTGACTTATTTCACTCAGCATAATCTCTTCCAGGCCCGTCCATGTTGATACAAAAGTTGGGTATTCATCCTTTCTGATGGAGGCATAATACTCCATAGTGTATATGGACCACATCTTCCTTATCCATTCGTCCGTGGAAGGGCATCTTGGTTCTTTCCACGGTTTGGCGACTGTGGCCATTGCGGCTATGAACATTGGGGTACAGATGGCCCTTCTTTTCACTACATCTGTATCTTTGGGGTAAATACCCAGTAGTGCAATTGCAGGGTCTTAGGGAAGCTCTATTTTTAATTTCTTGAGGAATCTCCACACTGTTCTCCAAAGTGGCTTCACCAACTTGCATTCCCATCAACAGTGTAAGAGGGTTCCCCTTTCTCCACATCCCCTCCAACACATGTTGTTTCCTGTCTTGCTAATTTTGGCCATTCTAACTGGTTTAAGGTGGTATCTCAATGTGGTTTTAATTTGAATCTCCCTGATGGCTAGTGATGATGAACATTTTTTCATGTGTCTGATAGCCATTTGTATGTCTTCATTGGAGAAGTGTCTGTTCATATCTTCTGCCCATTTTTTTATATGATTGTCTATTTTGTGTGTGTTGAGTTTGAGGAGTTCTTTATAGATCCTGGATATCAACCTTTTGTCTGTACTGTCATTTGCAAAGATATGCACTTCTGGGTATTTACCCCAAAGATACAGATGTATTGAAAAGAAGGGTCATCTGTACCCCAATGTTCATAGCAGTAATGGCCACAATCACCAAACTGTGAAAAAAGCCTAGATGCCCTTCAATAGATGAATGGATAAAGAAGATATGGTCCATATATATAAAAAGCTCCCAAATACTAACACCATAACACATTAGCTGCTCTTAGTTTTTAAATTCTTTTTTAAAAAGATTTTATTTATTTATTTGAGAGAGATAGAGAGAGAGTGAAAGAGAGAGAGCATGAAAAGGGGAGGGTCAGAGGGAGAAGCAGACTCCCCACTGAGCAGGGAGCCTGATGTGGGGCTCTGTCCTGGGGCCCTGGGGTCATGGTCTGAGCTGAAGGCAGATAATTGACTGAGCCACTCTGGCACCTCTTTGTTTTTCTTTTAATTCTTTTCTAATCTTTTCCCACAGAGAAATGTCTCTTTTGCAAAACTGTAGTAATTGTTGAGATCATATTTTGTAGTTTGCTTTTTAAAAAAAAAATATTTTATTTATTTATTTGACAGAGATCACAAGTAGGCAGAGAGGCAGGCAGAGAGAGAGAGGAAGGGAAGCAGGCTCCCTGCTGAGCAGAGAGCCAGATGCAGGGCTCATCCCAGGACTCTGGGATCATGACCTGAGCCGAAGGCAGAGGCCTTAATCCACTGAGCCACCCAGGCACCCCTTGTAGTTTGCTTTTTACACTTAAACATAATAACAATTTTACTAAGTTTTGAGAAGGTTTTGGTCTCTGGTGTGTAATTTTCTATAAAGGGAGTATACAATAATTTTGTTGACTGTTCCCTACTAATTGGATATATAGGTGTCAAATATGCCAGAATTTCCTGTTTCTGAGCCCCTGCAAAAACTGTTCTTGCCACCTGGAATTGTGTTTTCAATTCCATTCATAATGGGTTTTCTATCTTATCAAGGTTTTACTACATCTTAAAACCACTACTCAGAGTTCAAGCATAAAAGAAAGAGGATTTATGAATCAATGACTTGCCTGTGTATAAGATGCAGCTGATCATTCCTGGCATCACCATGAGGAACATGGGCAGCAGTTTCAGGTACCCACATATGATGCAGGCGGCTTTCACATGAGACATGTTCTTACCTGATAGGCAGCGCTGCACAATTACCTGCCAGGAAAACATGACATAGTCATCAAACAACTTGAGGATGATATAAAAGAAGGTGAGTGCTTCTTTTCAGGGATTAATGTTACAATAAGATATGAGGCCATGAGTAATGGAAAATAATGGACTTCAGAGTGAAATCAGAACTCGAATCTCTGCTCTACTTATTTGGGTATTTGGCCTTGTGAGATGCAGATTTTTCATCTCTAAAAAGGTTATCTTCAATTGAACATAATAAAAAATAAATTAAAAAATGGAAAAAAGAATTAATGATAACTTTAACTTAGAGAAGGATATAAATGGGTCAATTGAAATGTTAATAATTACTAACTTCTAGAAGTATTTGTAAACTTGTGATTGCGTTACACAATTCACATTTTATATGCAACTAATGAATTGTGGAACACTGCATCAAAAACTAATGATATACTGTATGTTGGCTAATTGAACATAATAAAAAAACTTGTTATAAAAAATAAATAAAAGGGTTATTTCTTGCAGGACAGTTGAATATCTGGTATAATGTTTGTAAGACTCTTGATACATACGAGTCAATACACATCAGTACTATTAAAATGTTTACAGCTCCTAGGCTGCATTGCAACCATGGCCATGTGCTCCTCCAAGTACAAGGCTGTCACTACTGGTCTTTGCCACCAGTTGTGTGATTAAGTTGTGCTTTTAGTATTGTAAGCACCAAATAAGCCACATACTCATCAGTATCTCTTCACCATTAGAAAAGAATTGTCCCCTTGGGAAATCAAACTCATTGGGATAGAAACATCAGAGTCAGGCAGCGAGAACCCCGAGACACTAATTTCTAGATTTCTTCAGAATATTCTGAGGACCTCATTGAGTTATGGAGCAAAAATAGTGGTCCTGGGAAATTCAATGTGTATAATTTTACCATTCCACTTAAGTTGTGTAATCCCTTAACTAAGAATTTTCTAGTAAAGCAGGATTTCTACTTATAATGCCATAACTTCTTGACATTTTTCTTCTCAAGGAATGTCAGAATATAGGGATGGCTTTTAATGTTTCATTCTCTTTGGAGAGACAGATCTGTTAAGGATAGCAACAGTGTCACTCAGTGCTGAGGGAGCAGGTGCCATCTTTAGACAGAGGGCTTGAAACAGAAAGTTGGAAGAACAACATAAAGGTGAGGAAGGGAGGCCTGTCAGCAGACAAGCAGGGTCAGATATCAAATCTAAGGGTGAATGTGAGGCCATTTACAGGAGATAAATCAGATGGTCAGAGGCAAATGTAAATAATAAGATAGTTGCAGAAATCAATGAAAAGATGCACTCTTTGGTAGAGAGGTTGAGAAAATCAATTTATTATATATAGAAAAGAAAACCGATTCCTCACTGACACAAGTGACCACGGGCCCAAGATGGGTTAAAATTGCGAAATTATAGGTTTGAGTTGACAGAGACTATAGATGGTGATGAAAACTTCATTCAAATTTTAGTATATGTGCTGCCAAAGCAAGCACAGTGATGAAAACTTCAAAATAAAAAACAAAAACAAACTCAAGTGCTATGAAAAGGAACATCCAAAAAACAAAAAATAAGATCTTGAGAGTTATAAATACAAAGTCAGGACACTGGAGGATAATATTGAGGAAATTTAGAAAGTAGAGCAAAAAGACCAAGAGATGAAAGATGGGGTATGAAAGATAAGGATACTAGAAAACAGGTTGTGGAAGACCAACATCCAAAAGCGGAAGGTTTCCAAAGGAAAGCACAAAATTCCATAGAGAAAAGACAGGTTACAACCAAAGGATCAAGAATAACTTCAGGCTTCTCACCAGTAATGGTGGAAGTCAGAAGACAATGAATTTATGTCTCTGGGAAAATTATTTCCAACTTAGAAATGTGTACATGACCAGGGGATCAATTTAAGAAAAGTTGAAGTGAAGACATTTTCAAACATGAAGACAAATCCACAATAAATTTATCTCCTGTTTTCCTCAGGAACTTGCTGGAGAATTCAATTATTGGAAGACAATATAAAAATCTGAAAACTGGAAAACCAAAAGGGAACAATGCAAGAATTTATTTAAATCACCTAGGGATCAAATTTACAAGTAAATTCTGATTCAGTGGGTCTGGGTAACATCCGAGAGCATTTATTTCTAATGTACTCCAAGGTGGTGACACTCCAATGGTTCACCAATCATGCTGATTTGCCTGTGGGGCGCTCTGTGGATGAAGTCCTGCAGCTGGTTCAGGCCTTCCAGTACATGGATGAGCATGGGGAAGTCTGTCCTGCTGGCTGGAAGCCAGGCAGTGACACAATCAAGCCTAATGTGGAAGACAGCAAAGAACAGTTTTCCAAACACAACTAGACTGCAGACAGCTGGGAAGCCTGGGCTGTTGGCCTCCACCTGTGCCTCTACCTGGATACCCCATTGCTGACCCAGGAAAGGCCAGACTTGCCCCTTTAAACTCCATAGTCCATGACCCTGGAGGTTTGTACAACCATGCTGTACAAAGATTTAGAGAAGAGAAATACAAACCAAAATACTTAACTGAAGGAGCCAAAAATGTTTGCTTTTGAGAGACAGATAAGACAGAGAGCAGGACAACAGACATTTATTTTTCATAACAACCCTTGTAGAAGTGTTTGGCTGTTTAAACAATGTGTGTGCATGCATGTGTGTTTATGTGTGTACAAAATAGAGACTAGATGCTTTTCTATGAGTAGAAAAAGAGCAACATAAACATATTTATACACCACACACATACTTTACCTGATCTGTGCACCAGTACCATAGAGCTACTATGGTCATTCCAAATATTGTTCCTGGCCAAGGAAGATCCCCTGTGACAGCATTTTGGAAAATGTGGAAGGAGTCAGCCTGAGGAGTGTAGCACTTGGAGCTGATCGTCAGGTTGTCCCCCTCAACTATGGTTGGGATGGCATTCATGTACTTTTCTGTAAAACTCTCATAGCCTCCCACTTCGGTAAATGCTGCAAATGTATTGGATAACATGAAATGTTTAATAGAAATCTAATCATATTAATCTAATTTAATAGAACTAAATCTATTATTAAATCTAATTTAATAGGAATCTGTTCATAGTTATTCCTTTGTGGTGGAGGTATCCAAGCATCTCCAATCAGCCTAGTCAAACCTTCAGTGTTCTCAGATTCATGTCTTTCTAGTACTTTCACTGGCATTGGCAATTCTATCATGCTTTCACAAGGTAGACAAAGCAAATCACCCTTTAAACCTTTCTCCTTGTGTCACTTTTGAAAATTGTTTTTAGTGCCTAGGTTTACAGTAAAAATAAAACTGCTATGCAACAGACTGATATTGATGTCTCATAACCATCCAGAACAGAAATAAGCCTGAAGGCGAGGTAACAGAGTGAGACTAGCAGAATTAGCCATGAGAAAGCCCCAACTCCTCTGAAAGGACCAGAAGCAATGGTCTCTCTTGTTGACACAATGTCTGGCTATTCTGACTTTATGCACAGTCTGGTTTTTCTGATGCAATATTGTATTCTACTCATGCTAGAATTAAAAAAGTGAGAAGATAAGGAACAGATATTGGAGGCAGCAGATTATGTGTGGTGAGGTGAAATGGTGAGAGCCCACTGGGGGTCTGGAAAGGCAAGAGAAGTGTAGAAAAGAACAATAATGGATAGAAACCCTAGAAAGAAGGATGAGCCCAGGCATCTGGGCCCACCTAGGATAAGTTAAATAAAGTAGTAAAAAATTCATCAGAGTGTCATACATCCTTAGTGTTGTGGTTGTCATTAATTTACTTCTTCATTACTTATTTCATTTAGCACCAAAGTGTTTGTATGTGCCAAGCATTGTGCTAGGATTATGTGCAAAATAAATGTGCAGGCAGCAAAGGAAACAGTCAACAAAACAAAGAGGCAGCCCACGCAATGGGAGAAGATATTTGCAAATGACAGTACAGACAAAAGGTTGATATCCAGGATCTATAAAGAACTCCTCAAACTCAACACACACAAAATAGACAATCATATAAAAAAATGGGCAGAAGATATGAACAGACACTTCTCCAATGAAGACATACAAATGGCTATCAGACACATGAAAAAATGTTCATCATCACTAGCCATCAGGGAGATTCAAATTAAAACCACATTGAGATATCACCTTACACCAGTTAGAATGGCCAAAATTAGCAAGACAGGAAACAACATGTGTTGGAGGGGATGTGGAGAAAGGGGAACCCTCTTGCACTGTTGGTGGGAATGCAAGTTGGTGCAGCCACTTTGGAGAACAGTGTGGAGATTCCTCAAGAAATTAAAAATAGAGCTTCCCTAAGACCCTGCGATTGCACTACTGGGTATTTACCCCAAAGATACAGATGTAGTGAAAAGAAGGGCCATCTGTACCCCAATGTTCATAGCCGCAATGGCCACGGTCGCCAAACCGTGGAAAGAACCAAGATGCCCTTCCACGGACGAATGGATAAGGAAGATGTGGTCCATATATACTATGGAGTATTATGCCTCCATCAGAAAGGATGAATACCCAACTTTTGTATCAACATGGACGGGCCTGGAAGAGATTATGCTGAGTGAAATAAGTCAAGCAGAGAGAGTCAGTTATCATATGGTTTCACGTATTTGTGGAGCATAACAAATAGCATGGAGGACAAGGGGAGATGGAGAGGAGAAGGGAGTTGGGGGAAATTGGAAGGGAAGTGAACCATGAGAGACTGTGGACTCTGAAAAACAATCTGAGGGTTTTGAAGGGGCGGGGGTGGGAGGTTGGGGGAACCAGGTGGTGGGTATTAGAGAGGGCACGTATTGCATGGAGCACTGGGTGTGGTGCAAAAACAATGAATACTGTTAGGCTGAAAAGAAATAAAAAAAAAAAATATGCAGGACAGGAATTCAATCCAATGGAGGATACAGAACATACAAAGAAATTGTTCTGCTAAGGGGAATATGGTTTTTAACAGCAATACAGGAAAGCTGCTAGGAGATGAGAACCTCCTCTCTTCATCCTAAGGTTAGGAGAAGGTGATTCCAGAGGTACATCACCAAAACTAGACAAAAAGAACCATAAGTAAGAATAGCATAGAAATTTGTTAAATAGAAAGCTTGCAAGGAATTGGGTACTAGCAGTTGTCTCTAGAGCTGCTCTCAATAGAACTTTCTGCTATGATAGAACAGTTCTATCTGTTCTATCATATTCTTGGTGAATAGATATATATCTATATCTATATCTATATCATCTATATCTATATCTATATCTATATCTATCTATATCTATATCTATATAGATGTAGATATATTTCTTTTTACCCCATTTCTTCTCCCCCCAGTTTGGGGTCTTTCCTGATTTGGTTAATGCAAATTTTTCTGGGGTCTTTGCCACCCTTTTAGTATTTTATTCTCTCCTTCATATATTCTTTTTTTTTTTTTTTTAAAGATTTTGTTCATTTATTTGACAGACAGAGACCACAAGTAGGCAGAGAGTCAGGCAGAGAGAGAAGGGGAAGCAGGCTCCCCGCCGAGCAGATCTAGAGTTCAGAATGATGATTCTATATCTATATCTATATCTGAGCTGCCCATATGAAAACTACTAGCCATATATTGAGCACTTGAAATATGGCTAGGCAGGGGCACCTGGGTGGCTCAATGCATTAAAGCCTCTGCCTTCAGCTCAGGGCATGGTCTCAGGGTCCTGGGTTTGAGCCCTGCATCGGGCTCTCTGCTCAGCAGGGAGCCTGTTTCCCCCTCTCTCTCTGCCTGCCTCTCTGCCTACTTGTGATCTCTCTCTCTCTGTCAAGTAAATAAATGAAATAAAAAAAAGAAATATGGCTAGGCAAAAGAGAAAATGAATTTTAAATTTTGATTAATTCAAATTTAAATAGCCATATGTGACTAATGGTACCCATGTTGTGTCAAAATCACCAACTCTCTTGGTGGATTTGTTGTTTTTACAGTTTTTTTTTTTTAAAGATTTTATTTATTTATTTGACAGACAGAGATCACAAGTAGGCAGAGAGGCAGGCAGAGAGAGAGGAGGAAGCAGGCTCCCAGGCAGAGAGAGAGGAGGAAGCAGGCTCCCTACTGAGCTGAGAGCCTGGGTCATGACCTGCACTGAAGGCAGAGGTTTTAACCCACTGAGCCATCCAGGCGCCCCGTGGTGTCTTTACAGTTTTATCAGTTTTTGCTTCACATTATCTTCAAGCTCTGTAATTGGTACCTGCATATTTAGAATTGTATTCAGTGTGGCTTGTGATTAGGTGCATGCATATTCAGAATTGTATTCAGTGCGGCTTGAGTGGTTGGAACATGGTGGCTGCAGGAGGGGAGGGATGAAAAAACACTTATTTTCATCTTATATCCTTTTGATTAGGCACATGGATTTCCTGGGCAAAGGTAAACAGATACCATAATGAGAGAAAACAAAAATAGGCAAACTGTAAATTAAATTCATTAATAGTGCTTGCTGCGTGACTTAAAAGAATGAACTGATACTAATTAAGTGAGAGTCATAAAGGAAAATCCAACCTCTGCTTGTATATTCCAACAGCAGAGGGAGTAACATACTTTAATAATTTCCATGGCATCAGTCATAACGAAGTTAATAGTCAGTTATCATTATCTTAAACCATTCTTATATTTAATCCTTCATTTTATGAAAGTTTTATATAAATCGTTTCTGTGCCTTGAATCCATTGCACCAATATTTTTGCAAAAAACCAACTCAGTGAAACTGATTTTGTTGATTCCAAACACAAACATATTAAGATTAAACCTGAGCAAGAACTTTTTTTAAAGAAAGGGAAGTTCTTCCCTCATGCTGAGATAGTATAGCAAGAAAGAAGTTAGGCAGATGTTTCAATGATGTAAATTATATAAATGGTTAGAAAGTGTGACCATGTAGAACAAGGAGGCAGCAGTAAAGAGCAGTCTCACCATTTCCAGCCCTAGGGCACTGCACATACTGTCATCACTTACCATACCCCATGAGAATAAAAGAACCTATCAGCATGATGATGGTCTGGAGGGTGTCTGTGTAGATAACTGAGGCCAACCCCCCTGTGGAGAGAAAGAAAAGAACCAGGACATTTTATCTTTGTCCCCTCATCTCTTTGCCCTCACCTTTAGGTTCTCCTAAAACCAAACCCTAGAAACTCAGCAAAGAACATATGAAAAGCTCTTGGCTTGGCCACAAGCTTCTCTTGGCATCATTATCTCCTTAATTATGTATTTCATTGACCCTCCTGTCTCCCTTGCCTGGCCTCAACTCAAATTTTCTATGAATCATAGTGAAATTCCACACTTGTGAGTTTCTGAATATTAAATGGTAGAAAAAGCGAAAGTTTATTATCATTAAAGTTTCCCTTAACAATCCTTTAATTCACTCCATGTAATACTCCATGTATACTGTTTCTCAAAAATTTGGGCACAGCCATTTTTACTCTAGTGTTGGAACATATCATTGATTCATAAGTTGAATGCCAGTTATATAGTCAGTCATTGACTTGTGTTTTGCTTCAGTGTTGTACAAACAACAACTTCTATTTCAACTCTAGACTTGCTAGGCCCTCAGTGAACAAGCTATTTCCTTATGAGAGTGTCATTGGAAAACAAGGCTGATTCTGTAAAGGGAACACTCAACTCTTCATCTTTTACTTATTTTTTAAAAAATTTTTTAAAAATTAAAAAAAATTTTTAAAATCATTTTTTAATTTATTTTCAGCATAACAGTATTCATTGTTTTTGTACCACACCCAGTGCTCCATGCAATCCGTGCCCTCTCTAATACCCACCACCTGGTTCCCCCAACCTCTCACCCCCCCACCTCTTCAAACCCTTCAGATTGTTTTTCAGAGTCCATAGTCTCTCATTGTTCACCTCCCCTTCCAATTTCCCCCAACTCCCTTCTCCTAACTCCCCATGTCCTCCATGCTATTTGTTATGCTCCACAAATAAGTGAAACCATATGATAATTGACTCTCTCTGCTTGACTTATTTCTTTTACTTATTTTTGAAACATAAGCTAAATGTATGAAAATGGCTCTAGAGCTGTCTTGACTGTTCTAGCTGTTATTTTTCTCTATTTTTTCCAACTGAGCTGGTCTAGTTTCATTTTCATAAGTTAGTAGGGGTTGGACACTAGGGGAGTGGATGTGGTCCATGGGAGCCTGCTTGGACTGTTGTCACATACTTTTTCTCTACAATACACTGCTCCAGTTCTCCCCTCCTGATTCTGCCATTCAGAACCCAGGCAACCTGCACTCATTTGCATCCTATCTTGAATTTGCCAGTCTCATGTCTGAGCTGCTATTTCATTCTGACTTTGCATGTGTATGATATGATGCATTCCAATGTCAGTCTGAGTACTGACATAGCTGAGCCAAATCACCTTTCTCCACTTCAACTACTACATGATTATCTTCAGTCAAGGTACTCACACCTAATACTGAAGATTTTTTTATTTTGGAAATGGAAATGTTCTGGATGTGCAGTCAAATTCTTCCTTCCTCAATTAATATAAAAGCATTTTAATTCCAATATTAGTTAACATGCAATATTATATTACTTTCAATTGTACAATATATTGACTCCACAATTCCATACATTGCCTAGTGGTCATTACAAAAAGTGCCTTAGGGGGCACCTGGGTGGCTCAGTGGGTTAAAACCTCTGCCTTTGGCTCAGGTCATGATCCCAGGGTCCTGGGATTGAGCCCTGCATCGGGCTCTCTGCTCTGCGGGGAGCCTGCTTCCTACCCCCTCTCTCTCTGCCTGCCTCTCTGCCTACTTGTGATCTCCGTCTGTCAAATAAATAAATAAAATCTTAAAAAAAAAGTGTCTTAGCCCCATCACATATTTCATCTATCCCCCAATCTACCTCTGGTAACCATCCATTTTTTCTCTACAGTTAAGAGGCTGTTTCTTTGTTTCTCTCTCTTTCTCTTTCCTTTTCCTTTGCTCTGTTTTATTTCTTAAATTCCACATGAGTGAAATAATATGGTATTTGTCTTTCTCCAACTGACTTATTTTGCTTAACTCCATTCATATTTCTGCAAATGGCAAAATATCATTCTTTTTTTATGGCTGAGAAATATTCCATTATATGTATATATAATGGAATGTTATATATATATATGACATATGTATATATAGATATGCAGATATATAGATATATATCACATTTTCTTTATCCATTCATCTATTGATGGACACTTGGGCTATCTACAAAATTTGGCTATTGTAAATAAAGCTGCTATAAACATAGAGGTTCATATATCCCTCTGAATTAGTGTTTTGCATTCTTTGGGTAAATACCCAGTAGTATGATTACTGGATCAGAAGGTAGTCCTAGTTTTAACTTTTTAAATGTTTAAAATAAACATATAATGTATTATTAGCCCCAGGGATACAGGTCTGTGAATTGCCAGGTTTACACACCTCACAGCACTCACCATAGCACATACCCTCCCCAATATCAATAACCCCACCACCTCCTCCTCCCCCCAACTTCCCCTGGCAACCCTCAGTTTGTTTTGTGAGATTAAGAGTCTCTTATGGTTTGTCTCCCTCCCAATCCAATCTTGTTTCATTTATTCTTTTCCTACCCCCCACAGCCCCCACATTGCATCTCCACTTCCTCATATCAGGGAGATCATATGATAATTGTCTTTTTCCAATTGACTTATTTCGCTAAGCATAATACCCTTAGTTCCATCCATGTTGTCACATGGCAAGACTTCATTTCTTTTGATGGCTGCATAGTATTCCATTGTATATATATGCCACATTTTCTTTATCCATACATCTGTTGATGGACATCTAGGTTCTTTCCATAGTTTGGCTATTGTGGACATTGTTGCTATAAATATTCGGGTGTATGTGCCCCATCAGATCACTACATTTGGATCTTTAGGGTAAATACACAGTAGTGCAACTGCTGGGTCATAGGGTAGCTCTATCTTCAACTTCTTGAGGAACCTCCATGCTGTTTTCCAGAGAGGTTCCACCAGCTTGCATTCTCACCAATAGTGTAGGAGGGTTCCCCTTTCTCTGCATCCTTGCCAGCATCTGTCATTTCCTGACTTGTTAATTTGACTGGTGTGAGGTGGTATCTCATTGTGGTTTTGATTTGTGTTTCCCTGATACCAACTGATGAGGAGCACTTTTTCATGTGTCTGTTGGCCATCTGGATATCTTCTTTGCAGAATTGTTTGTGCATGTCCTCTGCCCATTTCTTGATTGGATTATTTGTACTTTGGGTGTTAAGTTTGATAAGCTCTTTATAGATTTTGGATACTAGCCCTTTATCTGATATGTCGTTTGCAAATATTTTCTCCCATTCTGTCAGTTGTCTTTTGGTTTTGTTAACTGTTTCCTTTGCTGTGCAAAAGCTTTTGATCTTGATGAAGTCCCAATAGTTCATTTTTGCCCTTGCTTCCCTTGCTTTTGGCGATGTTCCTAGGAAGAAGTTGCTGCGGCTGAGGTCGAAGAGGTTGCTGCCTGATTCTCCTTAAGGATTTTGATGGATTCCTTGCTCACATTGAGGTCCTTCATCCATTTTGAGTCTGTTTTCATGTGGGGTGTAAGGAATTGGTCCAGTTTCATTTTTCTGCACGTGGCTGTCCAATTTTCCCAACACCATTTGTTGAAGAGGCTGTCCTTTTTCCATTGGACATTCTTTCCTGCTTTGTCGAAGATTGGATGACCATAGAGTTGAGGGTCTATTTCTGGGCTCTCTATTCTGTTCCTTTGATCTATGTGTCTGTTCTTGTGCCAGCACCATACTGTCTTGATGAAGAGAGCTTTGTAATAGAGCTTGAAGTCCGGAATTGTGATGCCACCAACTTTGGCTTTCTTTTTCAACATTCCTCTGGCTATTTGAGGTCTTTTCTGGTTCCATACAAATTTTAGGATTATTTGTTCCATTTCTTTGAAAAAAATGGATGAGATTTTGATAGGGATTGCATTAAACATGTAGATTGCTTTAGGTAGCATAGACATTTTCACAATATTTGTTCTCCCAATCCAGGAGCATGGAACATTTTCCCATTTCTTTGTGTCTTCCTCAATTTCTTTCATGAGTACTTTATAGGTTTCTGAGTATAGATTCTTTGCCTCTTTGGTTAGGTTTATTCCTAGGTATCTTATGGTTTTGGGTGCAGTTGTAAATGGGATTGACTCCTTAATTTCGCTTTCTTCTGTCTTGTTG